ATGACGCGGAACGTAAAATTTCTAAAAGACGGTAGACAAAACGCTCAATGTGCAATAAATCTTTTTCAACGAGCCTTGTACGATAAACTGTATGAGCTGTTTGCGTGTCATCACGAATAATCACCTTTTCGGGATAGTGTCGAAAAGAATATTTGAAGCGAGAATTAGTTTTCATTGCAGAAAAGCGACGGCAGTGACTGCATTGCTGCAAATGAAACATTTCACGCTTTTTTTTCCCCTCCCCTCGAAGTCTGCGCACAAAGAAGAGCTACGTTAAATCGAGCCACGCTTAACACTTTACGTAACAAATTGCGACACGTATCGACGATTAAAATCCGAAATAACGACGCATGTAGCCGAAGATAAGAGACAAAATGCAAGTACTTAACGTGTACTTCGGATTGAAAGGATATAACGTCGTACCCATCTACCCTAACATTTAACAATCAACATCCAAAACGATTACTCCTTTATGTGCTCTTCCTCGAGTGGAAACATACCATCTTTGTTAACAGAACACATTAAATTGGCCATATAACTTTTTTTTTACAACGAGACGTAAGCACGGCATCGTTGATGGTGACACGCAATTTCGATATCGCTATCAAAGAAGATTGCTTCCACCTGGGCATCGGCGAGCCGTTAAAGCTATGAGATACGTAGTCTTACCACAAGTATATACTTGATTTACACTGAAAATATATGAATATCTCTTTGCCTGTTGCTTTTTATAATCTGTTTAAAATCCTTCATATTTTAACATCATATAATAATTTCTCTTTAACTTTGTTCGTGTTCAACACACGACGCTTGAGAAACCGCCTGATACATTTTTGCAGCAGCACGCTACCATGACACACACATATATTTGTTGTGAAACGAGCGCTCGTTGCGCAATGGCTTCGAATAAACAAGCGTTTAGTCAAACAATTGACCTGACAACTCGATATTAATCGATGGCGAACAATCTCATCCGATATTATTTTCCTTGAAAATATTTAATTAGTTATTCGGGAGCTCAATAGACGAATCCAATATTACAGATAATCGTTTTCTTCGTGTCAACGTGATTATCTTGACATCGTTTGCTGACTTTGATTTCAAACAACACAATAGTCCAACAAATATCTATACGATCCAAACGTTAGTTAAATTGAAATTTTGACTTTACACGGCTATGTAAATGTATCTTCGGTGCCTTACTTCATATATTTTATATACATACCACAATTTTCTGTACGCACGCTGTTTCTCATACCTCGCGTAACACAGTTAGGCGCTATTTTTTTAAGTTCTCGTTTATTTTCCCCGTTATGAATATATAATCTATGATTGGACCATCTGTCAGCTAGTACGCGTACAACCCGACCATTATCTTTCATTTGCTATCTAATAATGCTTCTTAAATATAACTCTCGGTTTCGCACAAACAGCGGATGCCACCTCCACGTTTTGGTACTTCCGCTGTTTGCATTTTACATCATCACTTTCACAGATCATTTTCGTATTATATTTTCCCTGTCCAGCAGCTATAATGTCTAAAATAGATACCACCGAAAGTACCCTCGGTAAGGATTCAACTATCTACAGAGAAGAGATAGATTTTGATAGATAGATCTTTGTATTCTATTCGAGTATAGTATTTCTACGTTAAAAGAGTCAAGATAGTAGTACTCGCCGGGCGAGTTTTATAGCCTCGTAGCTGAACTAGCTACACATAGATAGTATCCACGTGATAGAGTCAATCAAAAAGATGCTTTATTCTTTTATCTTTTCCGATTTTTTGCTCGTTGTAAGTCGCGCGATACAAATTGTAAGAGAAACGTAACCGAAAGCTTGCCAATTTCATACGCAATAGTCGCGTTGAGTTATGCAAAACTTAAAAATTACGTGATAGATAATTGCGAAAAATAGTTTAATTTTGTCCAAATGTCAATTTACGTACAAACATTGAATCTCGCTCGTTTATCGCGTTTGTCAAATTTCTTTACATTAGATGATATATCAGAGACATGCAGCGACAATACATGAAAAAGTAGAATAATCTTTTAGCGATCAGAAACGTACTGAGGTTTTTCTCAAGTTTAATTTGTTGGACGCAACTTGCAATTCGTCGTTTATGAAAGTTTACGTGATTAATATGAGGTAAATGACGATAAATATCGATGTAATATCAGTTTCCAAAAAATATATAAATCTCTGCCAGAAGCTAAGATGACGGGGGTTTATGTATTTACTCCTATCCACAACTATATAAAATAACTTGTATTATTATGAGAGAACACAATGAAAGATATAATAAAAATAACATTGTGTTTTCTATTAAAAAAATCGATTAATTAAAAAATTCGCGTATATACGTATGATTTATATAAATCGCATATGAGACAGCACAATAACAATTTAAAGCCTCGATTATCAAAATAGAATAGAAATATCCACGAGTCCTACATCAGAATTGTGTTAAAAACCAATAGCAATTTCACGTTTTAATAACTAGCTTGAGCATAAAAATAATTCTCATCTCTACTTTTAAGCAGTTGCCAATTATAATTAGATTACTTTCAGGCAGCCATTTCATGTACATCCTGAGAAAAATGAGGAAGTTATTATTCTATTATTATATGTCTTCAATACAAACGATATTACTATTGTACACTTTTGTCTCTGATCGCATTATAATAAAAGTTTTTATTGTCCAATAATATAAAACTATCGATATCGCACTAAACAAAGCAGTACGATTATAGCTTATAGTTTAGTATAATAATTGTCAAGTTGAAGAGCAGCTAATACTATTTGAAATTATTTAGCACTCTATTACTTTCTTCTGTTTGTATATAACGTGAAGACGTAAAGTATAAACCAAGAATTGGCAATCGCTGATTCAAGATAATAAATATAAAGAGTACATTACACATTATATCTTTGTCAATATCGTTTTCTCACGGTAAAAAAATAATTTGTAACATTTAAATTAAAGCCGTTTTTCATATTACGTTGATAAAACCGTGATTAAACTTACGTGACTAAAACTTTACGAAATTTCCTGCAGATAACTCGATGTTTGCGAAAGAAGGTAACATGCAGTTTGGCAGCGTACAATAGATTGAATGATAGTGACAGGAAGTAAGCTATAGAAAAGTGTATACCGAGTTTTAGGTTTTTAGAGGAGATATAAGCATAAAGGAAAGTATGCGCGAATGTATGGTTGAGATAATATGAATCCAGCATACGGGGTGACGTTACAAAACGAGAACTCACATGAATGAGTGCTATAACTCCGTCCTTCTTGTTAAAAAATTACTATTTTGTGTGCTCTTTTCTTTCTATACCTTGCGAACTTAATAATATCCCGGGTATCGTCAGTCTAGTCTCGCGCTAACTTTTAAAAAACAATAACATTATTCTAAAACTAATGGCGTCGCATAAAAAAGCTCATAACATATTTAGATTTAGCTTATTTCCGATTAATCATCGTGGGGTAAGAGTACTTATTTCTCCTTCTTGTCTCGTATCTAAAACTAATATCCAATCGAATTCGAAAGTATCTAAACGACACAGTTACCCCGTTTCTGTCTTTTATACACTTATTTACGTAACTTCAAAGACATGCGGTAGTGATCGAGTGATATGAGACAACATTCGATGTTTATCTCAATTTATATATAAGTCTTATGCTCTATATAGATAGGCGCTGCTAAAAATCGAAGAAATCTTTACGCCTGTAATTCTTGTCGTGCGCGATCTCTTTGTCATTCCTGTCATTTCTTTACTGACTTTATTATTATTCGTATCCTTCTACTATCTCTCCACGTTCGACATATTGATACACTGCGTGAATTGGAGTTGTGTCAGTTTAGTTGTTGAAGAAGTTAGTCACCGCGTCGCGTTATTCTCTAGATCGGAAAAATATTCAAATAGCGGTTCGCACTTCGCTATGTCGAGTATTTTACGAGAAACGCACATAACGAAAGGATACTTGAAACTCGTATAAATCTAAATAAATATAAGCCTCGTTTGTCGCGTCCCAATCTAATGTCGATGATTTCGATCAGACTTGCTGGTCTCGATGCATCGGCGATTTTCTCGTTTCGTTAATCTCGCTCGTACATTCCTCCTTATTTATAGTTTATCGAGAAGTAGGCAGTGATGGGAAATGATTAAATATACTTCGCTCAAGTAAACCTTCTTCGCCCATCGCGGAAGCCTTGGTCCAGTCTCCACGACTCGTGTCGGTTAATTATAATAAAATGTATATTTTGCGTATATTCGGCAATGGATCATTCTAATGCCAGATCGATAGAGAGAGGCTTCTTCCTCTGTCTCCGAATATTTCTTCCACTTTTTATCCTCAACTAATTCAATTCACTTCTCTCTCTTTAGCAGCACACAGTCTTTACAATCTAAAATCTTACAACAATAATACGCTTACCTGTCACAAAAATAAATATTTTGATATCGCTTACCATCTACATGCTTACATACTAGAAACAACAAATCCCGCTTGACATATCCAGCTGTACGGGATTCACGATAAACTTTGTATGTCTCATTCGTCAGTTGACGCTCAGCCTCGCATTTAACTTTATTTTTTTTTTTTTGTGTCGCAGTTCTATATACACGCGAAACTCGCACGCTATTATTAAAACGTACGAGGGCTACGAGTACATTCACAACGAGTGAATGCACCATACATTACAGTCATTTGAAAATGCAACTGAATGCTGCGTTTTTATCTCAGTACACACATAGGCATGATAACTCAACCGTAAAACACAACCTTCAACCACTTTTAATCATTGCGTCCTTTATCTGACAATAAGATGCATTCAACGAACATATAAGTAATAGAAAATTGACGCTAACAATTTTTTTTATATAAGAATATTTTTTAATATTTACGTAAAGTTAAACCATATTGATATTTAGTACTACATCACTTAATATTTTTACATAGACATTTGTCTATAAAAAATTTATTTAAAGACTAATTAACATCAATTAAAAAATTGTAATTGGAAAATGTTTGTAATTAAAAATTAAAAGAAGAAAAAATAAAAATAGTGCGAGTAACGTCGTGTATAGATTTTAAAAATACATTCTTAATCTTTCACTTACAATTTACGATAATGCATTGTCCATTCGATACAAAGATTCACTTCTAGTTCTCGTTTACATGCTAACCACTTACTCACTAATGCTAAAGCTTTATGAAATCCACTTGCTGACACTTGACAACTATTGGGTGGGGTGGGGGGGAGCATTACATACATTCTTTTCGTAACGGATATCATCATTTTCTAAGCAAGTTTCAAGCAAAATACCAAAATTATTTTATCGTCCTAGTGCGCTCGTTACTTGCTTCCAATCAGCTGTTGCATATATTTTCTCACTTGCTGATTCTGATATCTAATCCTATAAACATCCTATCTCAGGGAGGAGGGAGGCAGCACATCGATTCAATCAAATATTCGCTTAGTTTTTGTTTCTATCACAAAACAACCACTTTTGTCATTGTTTGGTACATCTAAGTCGCAAATCTCGTGGTGAAACACACCATTTACTTGTACTCCTCTTATACTCTTTTTCGCAATACTCTTTTCTTGCATATCTAGAAATTCCGCTGAGTAGATTTTGTTGAGCTAATACGCGCAAAGTGACGCAAGGTCGTTTCTCGAAACAATCAATTCTGAAAAATCGCATATCAGTCGCTCCAGGACGACGGGACACATTTTGAGGAATTCCTTTCCTCTCTGGTCCAAAGGAGTTAAGGTACAATATTGAGCGATTTATTTCCTAATCGAGTGATCCCTTCAAGTCCATGGTATGTATCGCGTGCGCGGTGAGTGTCAGAAAGCAGTGTCTAGAGCAGCCATATTGGTTGAGATATCCGGATCTGCTCGACAAGCCTCCAAAAACTCAGATAGTGTCACTACGCCGTCTCGATTGCCGTCCATTTTCTGAAACCAAATTAATTAATTAAATTAAATGACTCTATCAACTAGATGTTAGAAATAGGCTTATGTATCTAAATTAACGAAACATTGGATGATTTGTCACAATATAATGAAAACACCTTTTGTTGTTCACATAAAGTAACTTAATTAAATAATTCATCATTAATGTTTTCAATGTAAAGAATTATAATGTATTCCTAAAACAGAAAATATTATAATCTACATTGTACTGTCATTGTATTATCAGCTACAAATCTGCTTAGTATCTAATGAACTCTGTAACGTAACTGTGATGAAACATTGTGTCAAAAAGTTAGTATTATGTAAAATGTTATAACAGTATTATGTAGGCTTTCTATAGAAAGGTACGAAAATCCGCTTTGTGACTCCCTCTCTCTCTCTCTCTCTCTTTGTTTTGCATCACAGTTGGTTACGGATATCCGGAACCTCATATCTCGTAACTCTAACATGATTGACTGAACTATGAATGAACGGAATTACTATGAAGCTTAAACTCAGAAAAAAAGCACCATGTTGACCTAGATTGGAAGACCACCGCTGACGTATATCCTAAGACGATATACGACGACGAAAAAGCATGTAGACGTCCTCTCACACTTCCGCGTTTCTACGATGGTATGCCGATGTAAATGTATGCGTCACTTAAAGTAGAACTGATCGACCACGGTTGCGCTAGAAGTCTGTTTCTACTGCGTCGTACGTTTCTACTACATTTTTCAACATCGTTGTTTTCTTAAGACGTGCTTAGGTAGTTTATTATTTTAATGTTATTCAAAATTAATTTGATCCCCCTTTTTCCGTCGAAATAATTATTAAAAGTTCAAAATTTATGAAAGAAAATTGTTGCTGTTTATTCCTTCCAACGCAATGAATCGTTGATAGTTTTACGAATAAATATAGTTTGATTAACAGCGCGGTCTTTGTATTTATTCAAATATATTCAACTAGAAGTGCAGGCATTATCGGGCGTTAATTATCTGCAATTCGTGGCAATCTATCAGATCGAGTTAATTTACGGAACAAATACCACCGAAAGTCGAAGCTGGCATTTCAAGTCGTGTTGCGTGCATGTACGATCATTTAGATTGCACGATGGTAAATCGGCTATTGGCAGGTACGATTGGCAAAATTATTATTGCTCTCGCACTGCGAAACAGAAAGCTTGTATGCATGGGTGGAGCCTGTTGTCGTGTTGCACAGGATTAATTGGTATCACGACTTACTGCAGGCTAAATCGTGCATTATCGTGGCTTTGTAATCATATTATAATCAGCAATAATCGACGGAAATTTGGAGAACATAGGATTGTACATGTATTAGGAGAACCGATAATACAATAGGATCTTATCATTCAATTTAATCCTTTACTTTAAAAGACAATACCGTTGTCTCTCATGTCATATAGTATAAGCGGTTGCAAATTCATTGAATGATATTTAAAAAAAAGTTTTTTTTAATGATTTTCGGTGAAACTCGATGAGAGATTATAATTATTTTTAGATTTTACAGTTAAATATATTTAATGATAATTAAGATCGTAAATTTTTATATTTTATATTTTCTTTTATCTTTTGTGTCCTGAACTCTTAGTTGCGAATGACGTAACATGGGTACGATTCAATCATAAAACCAAAAAATTGGCAAGGTAGCCCATTTTTCTGTGACGAGAAGTGCTGGAAAGCTGGCTGCGCAGTTTCCAGAAACAATGGGACGGATTTAATCGTTATCTGGAACGAACGGTGCTCGAATAAAACTCGTTTTTAATTAGTGCTACGAATAACGCAGGTATTTCTGCGACGCTCGTTACCTCTGCTTTCCTCATGATTAATTAATATCAGTTTAATCGAAACAAACGTTTTTACAAAAAATTATGAATGGATTGCTATTTTGTTATGCAAAGAGTAAGATGTAATATCCTTTGTAGAACACGCACAGATATAAAATCAATTGTATGTATAACTAAGAATTGATGAACAGATTTATGTGTAATAATTTGCAAGGATTTTTATTGCGAAAATTTTTTATATTTATTAACGGAGACAACACAAAATATTTTCAACAAAGAAATAAATACATAAATATGCTGATCCAGATCTCTTAAACGATTGTTAATAATTATGCTTGCTACATTTAAAGACGTTATCTAAGAAGAATATTGATGGAATCTTACACAAAACCACGAAGGGTTTCGGAGCTATTCTTTCACCGCTTTTCTACGTGCACATTGAAAATCTTCGTAAGCGTTCAAAGCCATTGTGCCGCGGTTAGAAGTTTATAAAGTGTCCACCGGTCCATTTTTCATTCGTGGCTTGTATTCATGGCTTGGGGTTAGCTTAATAATGCTTTATCGTTATCTTAAAAGGATCTCGTAGAGCTGAAAGAACAAAAACTCAGACATACCGTATGTTTTACTTATTATGAAGGAAGTTTTATTAATTATTTGGCGTGTGTTAACTTTGCACCCCAACTTAAAAATTTTGTAGTTCTGACTGGAGTTCCCGCTTCTTTTTGAAGAGTTTCAGAGTTCCCAATAATTTATAAAAAGAGTTCTCCTGATTAACGATCAGAAATTAAAATTTAAAAAGTCGGGTGCCAACTTCTTATCGAAATTTGAGATCGAATAGTTCTGAATGGTCTAATAGCTTCATTTTGCGATTATCTAGACTTCCTGATACATAAAAAATTTTTTCGGTTAACTAAAAAAAATAATAAAAATCTTTGAAAATTTTATTTTGAGATACAATAGTTCTGAGTGATTTATATCGTTATTACGTTTATTTCGAAGAGTTCTCGCTGACTAAAAAAATTTTTAACCGCAAATATAAAAAGTTACACACTTTAAATGACATTTTAGAAACTAGTAAAAAATGACGCGTATCTCTGAATTGAGTCACTTAAGCGCGGTGCGCCATAAGACTTTTTGTTAGAACTCGTCGAGAACTGCCTAGAACTCCAATCAGAACCACTCGGAACTCTGAAAAATTTTTCGACTTCCGGACTTAGAAATTTTTCGACCATCGTTCAAATATACGGCATGTGCTTTCTTCATTTTTTCATTCTCTCATTTATTTTCAATGCGTAGCACGCATTGTGCATCCCTTGGGTAATTTCGTTTACAAATCTCATCATCGCATTCGCTATTGGTTGAGTACTTTATTTTAACGTCGCACATATATTATAATAGTGAAATGAAACTTTTCCCATTTCGTACATTTCATCTTCTTGTTTGTACTGTGCGCGACGCAATTCCTTCTATTGTTACATCTCGTCTTATTTCTGCATTTTGATTTTATTTGCTACATTATATTTCTTTGTCGAAAAAATCTTTCTTTTACTCTTTGGTGCAACAAACTTCAAAGTATCCGTATCGCTACCGTGAGATAGAAGGATGCTTGAAAAATCGTTTGACTGTTGAAGAAGTCTGGTCTTGCGCCGCATTCTTCAAGTTTTTAGCAAAGTCCCGGATCGATTTATCTACGTACCCAAACGCTAATGTCCGGAAAAGGAAACCTAGAATGTCTACAACGTATATCTAAGTCGTACGATATTCCGTTTCTTCGTCTACGAAACGAACATTGTTACAAACTAACTATATACTCGAAAAATGGTGCATAGGTCAAATTATATTGGCAAATCTTTTTATCGAGAAATTGATTTAATTAATATTAACAAAATCCACGTTTATATTCGCACATTATAACCGATTATCAGAGGCAAGGATGTAATATAACAATTTCACCGTCAATATTCTCTGCGTGCGTCACAGTATGATGTGGCAATGTGGCGTTGCAAAGGATCATTCATGTAACAGATGTTATTGATATTATGACAATAAAGTTTAACCGCAAGTAACATCTGCTCACAGAAATTTAGGTAGTTTCCAGTTTCACGGACGTTTCGGTCTACGGTGAATTGCAGAAGTGATTGCAAACTGACTAATAAATAACGTCATGCGAATCAAAGAGTCTAAATACAGAATATCGGCAGCTCCAGAAATAACATTTAATTGAATACTGAACGGTAACCAATAGTTCCTATCGCTACTATCGAATTGTTTCTTGTAGCTCAGCAACGACAAATTAATGTGTCGATATTTAACAGAGATACGTAACGTAAGACGCAGAGATTTAGCTTTTGATTTTCGGAAAATATCACAGTTAAGTAACATGTAAGTGTAAATACAAACAGATCTTCCTTTACGTTAAAATAAATTAAGGTGTAAAAATTTTACGTGTTCTCCGTATGTAATATCATTTACACCGATTATAAATACAAAACTTTTAATATCTGTATTTAAACTGCTAATAGTTCACTCTCAAGAAAGGTATTAATTTTTCTATCTGGCTGTTAGAAGTTCGCCATGAAAGTGATTAAAATCCCTGAGTGTCATGTTTATTATATAACGTGTGTTAGAGCACGGGAGCTGCAAGTTAGATTGAGAAGCTAGCGTGGTTCCTTGAGAAACCCTTGGGGCCTTTGAGGAACTGAGACCACCGGCAATTAGAATTTAAACTATCCGCGTACATATGTAAACGCAAGGTGCGCGTATATACTGAGGTTTCGAGTTAGAGCTCCATGTTATAGTACTAATCCTATCTCTGTGCTGTCGCGGCTGCCGCATACGCGACCACGAGTGTGCATACGCGTATCGGTGTGCACGCTTCAAAAGCAGCAGCGCTAAACAAGGCGTTTACCCTTTCTGGTCGCGTCGCTTTTACTGTCGAATTTGCGTTTCCTTTCAACGTCGACGAGAGCGTAGGAAGCACATCAATGGGTCCAACCCTGGTTGTACAGAATCGAAGATGAGGATCTTAGATCGTGACACGCCAGCTGATATGCACTACGAAACAAGCTACTGATCAGCAACTTTCGATAATATTATAGAATTGAATGCTGTTTGTGTCAAAGAGCATTTGTTGGCTGCGTGCGATCACAACTGATTCGAACAAAATAAAATAAAACGTCTGACAAATTGTTTAATATACAATTTCTTTGCAATAGATGAATAGATGAAAAGTGGAAGTATTGTATATGTTTGAACGTTTATATTGGGTGACATTTATCGTGTATTTTATAACACAATTGTTTTACGAAGGCGCGTGTGCCCGTTTTGCGCAGTTCGATTGTCAGCACGATTCCTGTGCATCGTATCCTAAAAACGTTAACTCTTTGAACTCCATTTGTCATAGGATTGACGAACTGTACAGCTTGTATCGGGCAGACGGAAGACACGTCATCCGCGCAAATTGTCTCTGTAAAACAGATTGCTCCTTTTTTCGCCTGTAGCGGCGGAGATAGGTGAAGAGACCGAGTGCACTGTGGGCATTGTCATCCGCAGCTAACAATGTGACAGCTTCTAAAAAGAAAGGCTCGTTCCTGTCTCGCGGAGATACTCTCTTCGCAGACGCTCGTTTTCTTTCATTGAAGTGAACAGATTATCGACAGTTATTACGCGTTTGAAAGAGATACGAGATTCGTTAATTTAAATGTTACGCTTGCCCGAAACTCGAAAAATGGAAAAATATTTTTAATTCAAAAAATTATATCTTTTTAATCAATTATAAATTAACTACAAGTTTGTTAGATGGTGTTTCTGATTCAAGATAGTTGTGGAAAAATTGTGTTTTTCGTTCCTAATATTTATTTATGATATATCGAATGTCGGAAATTGTGAGATTCTTTTTATACGCGTTTCGAAGATATGTTTTCATTTTTCTACCTGAAACATACGATCCACTTTCTCGCGTACACCCTCATGGTTCAAGTTGGGATCAGCAAATTTTCCCATCAGCTCGTATACGGCAGTCACAATGTCCGTCATCTCCTCCCTCGTGATACACCCGTCGCCGTTGATATCGTAAAGAGAGAATGTCCAACGAAGTTTTTCGTCTATCGAGCCACGAGATAGTATACTCAAACCCGTAACAAAATCCTGAAACATAAAAACCAATATTGTCCGTGGCAGTGGCATATCCTCATAAGAGATTTCGAGACATATACTTATATCTTGTAAGATATCTATACATATAATGCCTAAGCAATATTGAGTAATAAAAATATGTCCATTTCTCACACATGTTCTTCATTCAGTTTTAGAGCTCATCTCTTATTCTATCCAATTTTCGTTCAGAAAATTGTATATGAACAATTGTATTTTCGCGAAAATAACTAGAGCTGCATTTAATTGCGTAATATCTATCCAATTTTCGTTCAGAAAATTGTATATGAACAATTGTATTTTCGCGAAAATAACTAGGGCTGCATTTAATTGCGTAATAATTGGATGAATAACGCTAATAGAGAATAGGGTGGTAAACTTTAGTGCTTGTTGGCTGAATAACCGTGCGGTGCCGAACTTAGAATGAAACGTACAGATGTGAGCACATACCGCACGAGATTTGTGGTCACGTCGATTATGCAACTTGCAACACCTGCTACTAAGTTGAGTAAGATCGAATGATACAATTGTTCCACGTATTATAATGAAGGGTTGTCATTTTTTTTGCTAATATATCTACTTTATGCTTTGTTCATTTTAGAGCTGAAATATCTGATGGACATTTAAATGAATATTAATTTAAAAAATGATAGAGAAAAGTATATTAAATCACGCAATTTTAGAAAGTTTTAGAAATCATATAAATAACTAAATTCATATATCTTTACCAGCACTCTGTCTTTTGGTTCCCCAGTATATTTTTAATATAGTTATTATTATGTAATTAAAAACCATAGTTGCAATAATGGTACATATTCTTTTCTTAAATTACATGTAGTATAGAATTACATAAAAGCACAAGCTTGGTTCCCGAGCGCATTCTTGCACTTACATTAACGTCTTTGCATTTACAGCAATGCGTTCATGTAAATTTTGTCATGTAAAAAGAGCGGCTGCAATAAGAAGGATTAGACAACTGCTATTTCCGAGAAATAGGTCGCTCGCACAAAAGCAATTTAGACACAGAAGGATGTTAAATTTAATCGTGCGGTAATTGGGCAAATAATGGCGACAGCGTGTAACGTGTTGCCTCATAGGGGATAAACTATGCTATCAGTCAGCCAAGTTGCAACGCAGAAATCCCGCTTCGTATTAATATGTACGCGTAAGAGCGTGAAACCGCGAGAAGTTCGCGAGTATTGTGCGAGATATAGACACACATCAGACGCGTAAGTAAAGCCATAAGTAATAGAACTGGCGGCGCTATGTCCATTTCTGGTACAATTACTATGGAAATTTGTCTTGAATTTCGAATGTGGTGACTATAAGATGGAACAGAATTGCGACCTGGTTCTATTGTGCTACTTGTAATAACTCGAATTCGTCATACGAGAAATACATCAGCGTATTGTCACATTTGTATACATTTGGGAGTAGCCTTTATAATACGGTAAGATGTAATAGCGAGTTTGATATTTGCGCTTTTTCTGTGATAGACCCTACGATTAATTAAACCTCGCATGACGGATTTTAATTATCTGCTAAAAGCAGAGCTAATAAAAAAACAGTAGAACCGGGGAATTAAATAGAAATTGAATGGAATAGAATATCTGCGCTCCTTTGTCTCACCACATTTAAGTGCTTTTGAATATAAAATTTTAATTAGTCTTGCAGTAAAGTTTGTGTGCAATTATGCGAAGCGATATTGCGGATCCCACTGGCGATAATCTCTCAGGGCTCGAACGCGGGCGATTTATGGTGAAAGCCACTTTGCTAATTACATTTGGTAGGCTGTGATTTCAATAAAATAAAACACGACGGGGTAGTATACGTTTAAGCAAATAAAAAGATACTGGAGTTGAAAAATTGAATGCTTGTCTTTGATATAAGTTATCTTAAGTTTATCTTAAACATATAATAAGCAACTACATAATTACGGTAATAAACGTCAATCACAAAAAAGTGGAAAACGGATAATGAAAAACATATTAATTATTAAAATAATAGGTTTAGACTGTGGTAAAGTAAAATGACCTGTATTATCCTCGATTTTACCGGTTAATAGTATTTTCGAGATCAAAAAGCAAATTTGCTGAAACTGTTAGCCCAGCAAATTGTATTAAGCAGTCACGAAGAATAAAATAAAATCAGAGAGATGAAAAAACAAAATAAAAGTGAACATTGAGTGATTAACGTTAACAAAGTTTAAAGGTGAGATTGGAATAAAAAAAAATCCATGTAGAGATTAAAATCAAATCAACATCAAAAACACTATCTCTGTAATTTTTATTATAACAATAACAATCTTATTATATTTTAGTGTTACATCATTAATGATGTAACATTATTAAATTAGAAATACATATAAATTTAACATAATATAGATAAAAAATCTTAAAAAATATTTTCCTTGCTTTTTTTATAAAATAATTCATAATAAAATTAAAATAATGTTAGAAGATTTCTTTTTCTATTAAATAATAAATTCGAGTCATGACTGTATTATAGTACATTATAATGACGTTTTTATCTTAAAGAATTTTTATTATTAGTATATAATAATTTAAGAAACTTTTGTCTTTCATACGTCTCTATTTTTTTTATAAACTTGAAATTGAATTTTTGATATAGGCTCTTAGGATGAGGCAAAAGAATGATATAGGGGGAGTATAAATCGCCAAATGTTGTATAAATTCTCCTGAAAGGACTAAACCCTAACATACATCACACTTGATATCACTTAATCTTACTTTTAGCCCAAATTCTCGGTTTTACTTGTATTGTTTTACGTTTCTCTACGCACATTGTAATTTCAATTTTTCACTTATTTATTGAGAAAAACTCTTTAATAGCCGATCACGTATTATTGTATATTATAATATGTACTAATTTGTTTATGTATATTTCTTTTAATAGTATTTATGAAATTCTTATAAGTCACTGCCAAATATCGATTTATGCAGGAGCACGAAGACGATGCGTTTAATATATGGCATGCAAGCATAGGAAATCAAAGTTTGTAATTATACGAGCGTGTTTATATACGGCTGACCCAGTCCTCACCATCTAAACAATGAAACGTCCGAATAAATATCGATTGTTGATCCAGGTCGCTGTGATTATGTCGAGAATTGCGAAACGACAATAGAACTCTATTAAATTATTCAAGGATTACGAATAATAAAGGAATTCAACGCACATTTAAAGACCGCAGCAACTGTTTTTTAAACATACGTTTATTTAATTTTTAAATATATATATTTGTTTCTAAAATATATCAAAATTTTCGAGATTGCAGCATACAATATATTACAATAGATCGACTATCCTATTCGCAGTAAAATCAGTGCTTTTAAATAATACACTCTAAGGATAATCAATGCATTCTATGCTATTTTATTTTTATCTTTCAATTTTAGTATTAATAAATTTAAATGGATTTGTGTTAGATAGGTATTCCAACATTTGACACGAAAATGCTTTTCAACTGCTCAGCAGAGATCACATGTAATTAAAGTACATGCAAATGATTTTAATTTAACTACAAGTGTCACAACTTTTAATCGGTTAAAGTATCATTTAAAAATCTTTTACTTTTTATTAACTAGTTTGCTTTTCCAGTTAATTGATCAAAATAAAAAAGAACTTGATATCTATTTTTTTAAATGAAGTAATCAAGCATTAGCACGTCTGCATAAAAACTTTATAAAATATGAATTGTAAATGAACATTTTACATAGAATTGTAGATAAGTAATAGGATAAATAAAGATTGTCTAATTTGTGTTAATTCTTCAAATTAAAACTGCCTATCTTGCAAAATAGGTAAATAAATTTAGAAAACTGAATCGTAATTAGCTCTTAAAATTCTATGAAGGCCGCTTGATTAAATCGCCGCTATATCCATAGGGAATGTTGCAACGTTAGAAAGTAAAGAGAATGAGGAAAGTCTGCCGCAGAATGAGCCATATTAAAAAACGAGAGAGCTTTGTGAGAAATATCATAGTTAATTAAAAGTTCCGGTGACGCTCGTTCTCCTATCTGCTCCCCTTGGAGCAGATTTACTCACAGTGTACGCAATTTTTTCGCGACACAGATGCTCACAACGGAACGTTTCTTTTTTACTACGTTGCACATTACAGTCAGACAATTTTCGTTGTCGCCGTAGTTTATAATTTCGACTTCACTTTTGCCATGTTGGACGTACAAACCATTGAAACACGCTTGCTGGCAAAAACTAGAAAGTTGTGTGACTGGTATAAAAACAAGAAATTTTATAGCTCGCTATTGTTTGTTACTCCAACATAAAATATTTATGCTCGCAAGAAATAGACATAAATTTTTCACTTTGATTCGTAATTTATTTCTTAACTTGATATTTCGCATTGTGCTCCATATAAATTTCATTAATCTCTCACATACTTTTAAAAATATTATATTAAAAATATTACCTTGTACAATTCTAAAATAAGTATATGCACTTGAATACTACTTATTAAACCGTCTTATTAAGATTAAGCAAATTTTGAGAAACGTTCATGTTTATATGTTTTAACCGACAAAAATGCTACACGTTTCTCGACTGCAATGATTCAATCTTATGGTCACCGGATTTTTCATCGTCGCTCAAAGCGAGTGATAAGTGGACAGAGAAGGAGAATAAGGGGGAGCCGAAGAAACCTCGAAGATGGAGGAGGTCCTGTTGCCCACACGTCGAGAGCGAGTGCACTCCAGTAAAGTATTATCTCGAGAAAAGAGAAATGGTAATCCTTCTTTCGAGCGCTTGCAGATCTTAGAGTGCGAACATATAATGCGATTTAAGTCGTGATAAAAGTCTTTGTATATCAGCAATATTACAGATAAAATTTCGAAAGTAAAAGAAGATAATGTATATATTATAATATAAGGAGATTGACATTCCTGGAATTACAAAAGTCTCTGGATTATCAAGTGCAGTTTCTTATTGGATCGTTAAAAAGAAAATTGAGTAATCGA